TAATCCATTTGAAAAAATTAAAATAATTTAAAATTTTATGAAGATGGATGTAACAATTAAAAAAAAGAAGAAATAATTGGATTCAGGTGATCAACAATTAAAGGTATTTTGATAAATTATGCATTAAATGATCCAATGCAACTCAAGAAATATCCAGATAGTAAAATAATTATGAAAGATTAAATTGAAATGGTTAAAAAAAATTTATTATCTAATGAGATATATCATAATATTCTACAAATTAAACGATATCTTCGGAAGAATTATAATACATAAATATATAATAACACAATAATAAGTTCACTCCATTGCCAAGTTATTACATTTGGAAGTTTGAAATATAAGCCTTATCTCACAAAAAAAGCAAAGAGGTAAAGATATCAATGGGCCATACAATTTAGTGACTCACAGTGGAATTTTGGAAAAGGGTAGTTTTTGCAGATGAAACTTGATTTGAAATATATTTTTATAAATTGGAAATTAAAAAATAGATTTAAGGTTAAAGATAACATTCAAATAATATTCTATCAAGAAAGAGACCAACTGGAGTTTCTGTGAATACATGTTAATTTTCTTCTATGAGAGGTGCAGGTTCAATACAATTTTTTTTATATTAATACAAATAGATGACATATTTTATGGTACTGATCGATAAGTATGGTCCCAAGCTTGGCGAATATTGCTTTAATTTTTAAGATATTAATGATTTACAAGATAACTTTCCATTTAGTAGTTTAGAAATTTTTCAAAATTTTTACAAAATAAATAGAATTGATGCCATATTGATCCCTAAATACTCTATAGACCTCATAATTATTGAAAATTTATTGTGAGTGTTAAAATACGTTTGATTCATAAGATTATAGGGTATTCTCAAGTAGATTTTTAAGATTTATTTGAGAAAAATATGTATGGTATTTAACAAGAAAATATTATTAATTTATATCAACCAATCCCAAAAAAAATCAAAGAAATAATTAAAAATAGAGGTGTTTTAACAAAATATTGAAAATTTTCAATTAAAATATCATAAATAAAAAATTATTTTTTTAAACACTTAAAAATTAATTATCTTTCAAAAAAGATTTGACCTATTATAAAAAAAAAAAAATTATAAAAAAAATTAAAAAAAATAAATTAAATTTTTTTATTTATTAAATATTATAAATGTTTATCTTTTTTATATTTTTGAACCAACTTTATAATATAAAAAAAAAATATATAAAAGTACATATAAAAATTTTTTTTTTTCGTGACCCGGTCAAAACAATGTTGAAAATACTGTATTAATAATATAAATAATAATAACAATTCATCAAAGTAAGATTCAATTATATTATAAATTTTAAAAAAGATAAAGACAAAATTGAAAGGTAAAAAAAATAAAAGAACTCAGAAAAGAATTGATAAAATTAGGATGAGAAATCCAAATAACTGAACTTTCGGAAAGATTAGCGAGAGAAAGAGAACATTTAGATACTTTTGGAAAGAATGCAAATAGAGCGTCAACCAGTATCTGTCTGCATTACATTACAAAAACTATTTTTTTTTTTTTTTTTTTTTTTTTAAAAGTGAAGATAATTAAAATGCTTTAAATTAATCAGTAAAATAGTGATAAAACATTACAAACCTGCTAGAATGGGATTCAAACCCGGAGGGGTCTGCCATTATGCCTCTATTCAACCTCCTTCTATTCAACATAGATCACCTGGAAGATTCCAGGTTAAAAAAATTCGCCCAACGGGGGGCTCGAACCCCCGACCACAAGATTAAGAGTCTTGCGCTCTACCGACTGAGCTAGCCGGGCTTTTATGAAAGATTTTCTATCTTAAAATCACTAGGGCCAAAAAAAGTTCCTTTTAATTCAAATAATAAAACTTTTTATCCCCCATTTGTGATTAAAATTAAATAAAAAAAATAAAAAAAGTTCAAAAATTTCTTTTTTTATTAATATAATTTAAAATATTCAAAACCCCCAAAAAAAAACCTCTTTAACAAAGGACAAAAAGAAAAAAAAAAAAAATTAATATTAAATAAATAAAAGATATGTTAACCGATTCACAATTCAAATCGAATGGGTAAGTCGTAAAGGCCTGATTACAAAAAAAGGTTCAAAAATAGATTCTTTTATATACACAAAATTTACATACCACCAGTGTACACATACTTTTTTATTATAGCTATTATTATCATATCCTTAACTCTAATTTATTACCACCAATCACAACATCATTCATTTCTTTAACCTTATTTACCACTTTTTATACATTTCATTTTATTTTTACACACTTTTGTTTATTTTTATTAATCTACATATATCACCACATACACTTTCATTAACTGTTTTAAATAAATCCAAAATTTTCTTTAACATAATTCGAATATAATCAAAAAAATATATTATATGGTCAAAACTTTGGCGAATTACTATTTTCAAAACAATGGACAAAATTTTTTCCAACTTCTCTATAAAAATAAAATTGCCAAATTTATTTTATCATTAAATATTGTATATAAATTATTTATTTTTTGTAATATATTTACAATTTTTTGTTTTATTTTCCCCTATCTTTATTTGTATATATTATTTTTTTTTTAAATAAAACTTATAAAATAAAATAACTGAAACATAATTAGGAAAAAAAGATAAAACTAATAATTGAAAGAAATAAGAAATAGAAAATTTAAAAAAAGAAATTATTATTAAAAATTTTAAATCGATTTATTTATATATTAAAATAATAAAACAAATAATGATGAGAATAAACCTAAAATAAATAAAGATGAAACTAATTGTGATGAGCTATTTTCACTTTCTGACTCACTTCCTGAGCCACTTGAAGTGGAGTTGGTTTCACCATTGAAGGCACCTTCAGCACAAATATTATCAAAAGCAAAATCAGGGGTTGGTGGAGTATTAACATCAGTTGAGGTAGATGGGTTTACCATAGCAATAACACCTTGGAGAATACGAGCACCACCGACATTAGAGTCACCTAAATCACGTGTAGCATGAACAGCAAATCCACGACCATAAACACCTTGAATACTTATATAATTAGTAGTAAAGTTATAATAAGCATTTTTGAAAGCTGAATCAAAAGCACAGATATTACCTAATTAATTAAAAAAAATTTAAATTTAAAAAAATTAGTAGTTGTAATTTAAATTTAACTGTATTCTTATTTAATGATATTATTATTGATTTTATTTCATACCTAAATCACCATAATGACGAGTATTACTATTTTGAAGGGTTGATGGTAATGAATGAGTTTGACCAGTAGCTGCCCAATGACCACCAAGAGCAGAACCAGTAGTTGAAAGTTGTCCAAAAGAATGAATGTGGAAACCATGAGCCTCTTTGCTTAAACCATTTATTTTTGAGGTGACTTGAACACCACCTTCTACTTTTGCAAAAGCAACTTGACCAGTAATAGCGTTTGAACTTGTTGGTTGTAAAACAGCAATAGCATTAACAGATATAGTTGGAGCACTAGCTTTATTTAAACCATCAAGGAACTCTGGTCTTGTGGTATCATTTCCGTAACCAATGACACAGGAGGCTATTACTGAAGCTTCTGATTGAACAGATAATTGAGCAGAAAGTCTAGTTAAATCATTTGGACATAAAGAGGCATTGTATATGACAATTGATCTACCAATAATTGAATTTTCGCCACTTAAAAGTGGTAATAAGTATGAAAATGAACTGGAAACTATACCTTCACTCATGACAACATCATATAAAGCGCCAACCATTGAATCTTTTTGGTTTGGGCAAGCTCCTTCGAGATTTTCTGGGTCAAATACACCACCTAAATCTGATAATGGATAACCATAGGTTTGAATTGATATACCATAAGATCCATCCTTAAGACCATTAATTGCGGAAAATTCATATAAGAATTCAGTATTTGACTAAAAATTTATAATAAATATATGAGTTAATATTTATTTTATAATTATTTTTTTATAAATATTTAGTTCTTACATCTGTTTCTAAATTTTTATAAATTTGGATACTACCACTGATTGATGGTGAGTTTTTATCTACTGGTACTAAATCACAAACGGCATATTCGTAATCAGCTAAAACAATAGCTGATTTTAATAAAAAGAAAACAATTAATAATGAAATAAATCTCATTTTTTTAATTATTTGTATAAGTTATAATAAATATGAAAAAAATTAAACAAATTTGAAAAAAGAGCTATAAATAATTTTTAAAAAAAAAATTTTTAAAATAAATTTAAAATAATTTAAAAAAAATAATCTTATAAATTATAAGATTTTTAGTGATTATTTGAAAAAAAAAAAATTTTAAGAAAAAAGTGGTGGAATCGATTTTTGATTAATTTGATTATCATATAAATTTTAATTTTTTTTTTTTTTATCATTTTATATTTAATATTTTTTTTTTTTTTTTTTAGATTTTCGGGATTTGTATAATTTTACAAAAAAAAAAAAAAAAAAAAAAAAAAAATTTTTTCGATGGTTGATTTTAATAAAAAACAATTAAACTAAATAAATTTTATAAGATGATTTTTTTATCCCTCTAGTTTTGAAAGGGTGGTAAAAAATATTAAATGATTTTATTCTGGTTGGCCCATTAATAACGAAAATATAAACAATTGTTACCACCACCAAAAAAAAAAAAAAAAAAAAAAAAAAAAATTAAAAATTTGTAAATTTATTTATAAATATTTTTTTTATTACTTCAACCTTTTTTATAAACAATATATCATTTCGAAAGGAAACTTGACCATGGAATTTGGTTCAATTATAACTTTAAAAAATTCTCTCAGATTAAAGCATGGACGGAATTGATTCTGTATTTAAAATGAAATCCAGAAAAAATCGTCCTGTTAAATAGAAATCGATTATTTAATCATTATTTGTATTTTTAATACCTCTCTTTACAAAATAGATAAATATAAAAAACTACCCCAAAAAAAAATAAAAAATTTTAAAGGCTATTATCTCCTCAGGTATTTTTATAATTACTAAAATACAACTTGCAACTAAAACCATTGCGTTTCATTTAGTTTATTCTTTAATTTTATAATGTAATTACACACCTTAGATTCTAGCTTGGGCAGCACATGCATCAGAGTTGATTCCGCATTGATCAAAAGCAATCCAGAAGAAACCGTCGATACCCCATGATGGACCCTGTTGATTTTAAATGAAAAAGAAAGTGGAATGTTAGTAAATGCTTATTCTACTCTTTATTTGTTTTTTTAATAATAATAATAATAATAATAATAATTTTTTACATACCCAACTGTTAGCAACGATCCAGTAGTTTTGGTTTGATGCTTGATCGAAACCCCAACCAACAATTTTAATGGCATGACCACCTAATAATGATGAACCTGGAGTCATAGTGTAGACACCACTGGTGTAGGACATGAAATCAGAGTAAACTTCCATGGTACCTTGGATTGGACCAAATTTCATGATATCTTGTTGGATACATTCGACTGAAGCACAGGTCTTTAAGGTTAATGGTTTGGCTCTGTAGAGAGTGTATTGTTCGTTATCAACACATGAGTTTTTAACGCATGAACCATCAGTACCGTTACCAGAGGTGTATGGGAAACAACCATACTATTAAAAAAAATAAATGGTTAATATAAAATAAAACTATGCCAATATATAGATATAAATGTATATTTACAGTTGGGATACCGTGTAATTCCATATATTCCCAAGCTAATTGTGGGATACCACCGTTGCAACCTTGGTTACCAAAGATATCACAACTAACTAAAGCTTGTGGTGATAAGACAACACCAGTTTTACCGTTTGAGGCAATGCAAAGTCTGTCTGAAAGAACTTCTGAAGCTGAGAAAGCCCAACATGAACCACTATATTTTAAAGAAAAAAAAAAAATATTAGTATATAAAAAAACTCCTATGTGTGAGGTGATGTTTAATTGTAATTACCATTGTTCTTGATTTAAGATTGGGTGAATACAGTTTGGCCATTGAGTACGAGCATCAAAGCTTTGTGGGATTGAACCAACTGATTTAGTTTCTTTGGTATCTTTATTAATGTGTTTGGTAATTTGAGTACCCATCATACCCATAACATCACCATAGGTCATACCTTCGAATCTTTCATTTCTACCAGCTATAAAATAAATTTTAAAATAAATATTAATATATTGCTGTTGGTTTTTTTTTTTTTT